CTGGTCCAATTGGTCTCCGATATGGAATTCTTTGAGCAGAGAGGCAGATACACTCGAGAACCTGTGTCTATGACTATTGCCCTATTGTTAGGTATTGGGGGCATCACTGCAGGAATTGGTACAGGAACTACTGCCCTCGTGCAGAGCAACCACCTTATGCAGTTACAAATGGCTATGACTACTGACCTAGAGGCCATAAAAAGATCCATTTCTGCTCTGGAGAAATCTTTAACCTCGCTCTCTGAGGTTGTGTTACAAAACATAAGAGGTCTGGATTTACTATTTTTAAAGCAGGGGGGATTATGTGCAGCCTTGAAGGAAGAATGCTGCTTTTATGCCAACCATACTGGTATTGGCAGGGAATCGATGGAAAAATTAAGGGAAAGGCTAGCCCAAAGAAAAAGGGAGTTTGAAAATCAGCACGGGTGGTTTAAAGATTGGCTGCAAGGGTCCCCCTAGCTCTCCACCTTGCTACCTACCATTCTAGCCCCCTTAATTGTTTTTCTCCTTCTCATTACCTTTGGTCCCTGGGCCAGATTACGAGGAGGCCGGCCAGGAGCCCCATCAAGGACTCAGATTCAGTGTCCTAAGGCCCTAATGTCCCCACGGTCCTGCTAGAGGGTACCCAATGACGGGAATAGTACAGGGCCCACGCTGGAGACAACAGCATACAGAGGTCGTCGAGACTGGCTCAACATGCACGCTGCCGAGTGTGGGAAGCCCCCTGTGTAGCCTAAGACAGGGACTCTCTCGGACCCTAGCCACCCCGATCACAATGGACTTGGTCCATTTTTGAGAAAAGAGGGGGAACTGTTGGAGACCGACTCCGGACAGCTGTGTCTTGAATTTTGTGTGACCTTCCTTACTTTATCAAACCTTGCAAAAACAGGTTCCTGGCCTAACCGAGGGCTGTACAACTTCCTGGAGTAGGTGCTAATCAGCCAGCTGCAGGGGCCTGGGACCAAAGCGACCTTACCCTTCCTTAGGAATTTTCCATTCTTCTCTCCTTTTGCTTCCCCTGTTCCCCCTCCCTGCCTGAAGCCCTGCTTATAAGCCTCAATACCCAGTCAATAAACGAGACCTTGACGCGACTCAGACTGACTCTCTCTTCCCTTATGCGCCTGGTCTCCTTTCTCTCTCGCCCCCATTGATCTTTCAGGAGGTGCCTCCTCGGGTCTCCCCAATAACCTGGCCCACGGGACGGGTCACCAACAATAGTTCGTAGATGAGAAATATCTCCAAATAGTCTTTGAAAGTAATTAAGAGTCTGTAGTCTATCTCTCCTAATTTGCACCTTTTGGGGTTTAATTTTTTGTAGCTCTATTTTATATCCTAAATAATTAATAGAATCTCCTCTTTGTATCTTTTCAGGAGCAATTTGTAATCCCCAGCAAGGCTAAATTTTCTTTACTTCTTCAAACATTCTTTCTAAAGTATCTACATTTGAGTCAGCTAGTAAAATATCATCCATATAATGATAAATTATAGATTTAGGAAATTTTTTACATATCACTTCCAATGGCTGTTATACAAAATATTGGCACAGAGTTGGGCTATTCAACATTCCCTGTGGGAGGACCCTCCATTGAAATCTTTTAACTGGTTGAGAATTATTGAAAGTAGGCACTGTGAAAGCAAATCTTTCTCTGTCTTTTTCTTGTAAGGGTATTGAAAAGAAACAGTCTTTTAAATCAATAACTATGAGAGGCCATCCTTTTGGTAACAGAGCAGGCAAAGGAATTCCAGATTGTAGAGAGCCCATTGGCTGAATTACTTTGTTAATTGCTCTAAGGTCTGTTACCATTCTCCATTTACCAGATTTCTTTTTAATAACAAATACAGGAGAATTCCAAGGGCTGGTTGATTCTTCAATATGCTGAGCATTTAAATGTTCTTCTACCAGCTGTTCTAAAGCCTGGAGTTTCTCTGTTGTTAAAGACCATTGCTGAACCCATACAGGCTTGTCTGTTAACCATTTTAAAGGTAGAGCTGATGGTGTCTTTGGAAGATCATCAGTTGTTGTGCCCTGTTTTTGTATAATATGGATGGCTGGTGACCACTCATTAGAATAATATCTTCTAATATTTCTCTCAGAAACATGTGCTAATTTATGATTTGTTTCTGAGATTGGAGGGATGTTAATCTGAGTATTCCATTGTTGCAACAAGTCTCGACCCCACAGGTTCATAGCTATGTTAGCCACATATGGTTTTAATTTTCCTCTCTGTCCTTCTGGACCTAAACATTCGAGCCATCTTGCACTCTGTTTCACTTGAGATAATGTCCCAATTCCTAACAGTTGAACATTTACCTCCTGAAGAGGCCAAGTTGGATGCCAAAATTCTGGTGCAATTATGGTAACGTCCGCACCTGTGTCTACCAGACCAGACAACAAAACACCATTTATTTTTATTGTTAATTTTGGTCTTTGTTCATTAATAGAAGTTTGCCAAAAATATTTCTTTATGTTTTCCCCTGAATTTTCTTTTCTCTCTGTTTCATCATCCTGACCAGCATGATTTATTCCAATAGGCATTTGGTTATTTAATTGCTCTGAGTAGGGGTTTCCTCTATGACTGCAGGAAAGGTTTGAACTGGATTTGCTATTGGGGCCTGCATGAGGCCCCTCTGGGAGTTTCCCGAAGACTGAGGCAAAGGATTACCTTGCCTGTCCCTTGTTGATCTACATTTGTTGGTCCAGTGTTTTCCCTTACCACACCTTCTGCATACTCCAGAAGGGCAGGGAGTTGCCATTGTTCCTTGAAGAAACATTGTTTCTAGGATTGACCTGCTTACAGTCCCTTTTTTCAAATGTCCTTGCTTTTCACATCCAAAACATCTAACATTCCTCAAACCTTTTGAAATTGCTTCTCCTACCCACATATCATCATGGTCATTAGCTTCAACATTAACAATGTCTCTAATCCAATCTTCCAAAAGTGCAGATCTTGCCTTTAATGGCCTGATTATTGTTTTGCATGCTGCATTCGCATTCTCAAAGGCCAAAGATTCAATTATTATCTAACTAGCTTCTGAATCCGGGACCATTCTCTTTATTGCTGAAGCCAGTCTTTGTAAAAAATCTGTGAAAGATTCTTTTGTGCCTTGTATAACCTTTGTAAATGACTCAGTTTTTTTCCTGGTTCCTCAACTCTGTCCCATGCATTCAAAGCTGCCATTCGACATAGAATTAGGGTTTGGACATCAAATAAACATTGTGTTTGTACTGAAGCGTATTGACCTTCTCCAATAAGCTGATCCTGGAAGACTTGTATTCCTTTATCCCTCCATTGTTTTTCTATGTTTTTAGCCTCATCCCTGAACTAGATTTGCCACTGGAGCCTTTGACTGGGTTCCAGAACAGCCTGTGCCAGCTCTTGCCAGTCCTGTGGTATAATCCTATTATATATTGACCAAGAGTTTAACATTTGTTTTACGTATGAGGAATGCATGCCATAAGATACTATTGCCTCCTTAAACCTTCATAAATCTAACATTTCAATTGGAGCCCAAATACTTTTTGTAATCATTTGATTAGGCAACTGCTGTACGGTTACTGGATAAATTAAGGGTGACTGTGTGAAACAGGCTTTCTTTCTGTAACCTTATGATCCAATCTTGAAACAACTTCACTGTTAATTTCTTCTGTCTGAATTTGAATTTCTCTATTATTCATTTTTACAGGTTTAACAAGTTTTTCTAAAACTGTTATCCTGGCAATTAAATTGACTATCCTTTTAAATAGTAAAATGAGGATAAGCATAGTAATAAACTGTATAATTCAATCAACATTAATCTTCTCATATAGTTGTTCCATTGTCAGATTGCCTAAAATTTCAAACAAAGCCAAATTTTCTTCCAATGCACACATAAAACTCATTTTTTTTTAATGTGGAGAAAATTTCTCTTTTAAATAGTTTCCTTTAAAATATCTGATATGTTAAGTGACTTACCAAGTCTGCGTAGAACAGTAGAAATCTGAGGGAATTTCAAAACAGCCACCTAGTGTCCAAGGTGTAAATCCAGAGAGAGAGAGAGAGAGAGAGAGAGAGAGAACAAGAAAGTGTAGCCACAAGTTCTGCCTAAGAGCTTGAATCAAGCCACGTGTTCCTGCTTGAGCAGAGTCAAGCCTTGGCTCTGGCTTCCTTAAGCTCCAGCCACGTGCATTGGTTTTATAGGCAGGGGCCCTGTTCTGCAGGGCAGGCCTGAGTTGTTTGTAGCACCGGCTTTTAGCTAACCGCTTGGGGCTACGGTTAGTCCGGCCTGAGGCCAAGCCGATCTGGGCCTGGGCTAGGGAGCCAGCTGCCCAGGCTAGGGAGCCAGCTGCCCAGCTGGGAAACCAGACCTGCCACCAAGCCAAGTCAAGCAGTTTTTAATGGATTCTTGTCACATTGTGCACCAAATGTAGATGTAACCAACTGTCTTATTAAATAAGAAACACAGAACCAATGTAAAGAGGAAAGCCAAGAGATCAGAGCTAAGAGCCTTACCCGCCTGCTGCAGCTAGCCTCTTCAGCCAAGAGACCTCTCCAAAAGAGACCTACTTCCTGTCTGTTTGTCTTTATATAGACTTTCTGTTCTACCTTCTCATTGGTTGTAAACCCAACCACGTGACTGCCTCATCACTGCCTGTCTGTACAGACCTCCAGACATACATTGGAGCATGTGTCTCCAATGCTGGCTGTATCCTTGAACACACAGAGATCTACCTAGCTCTGCCTACCAAGTGCTGGGATTAAAGGCATGCACCACGAACACCCAGCTCTGCTATGGCTTGCTATTAGCTCTGACCCCCAGGCAACTTTATTTATTAACATACAAATAAAACCACATTTCAGTACAAATAAAATATCACCATACACCATAATACTGCATGAGTCTGTGGAAGCATATGAACAAGTCACACTACTAGAATGGAAAGGTGGTTGGACAATGGGTAGGTAGACTGAAGAACCTTAGGGAAGAGATGTAGCATCACATTGCTAATGTCACTAGTACTCAAGATACTACTGACCCATTAGCCTTCTTACTGCTCCTCTGACATCTTTGTTTCTTAGAGTATAGATGAGAGGGTTCAGGCTAGGTGTGACAACAGTGTAGAAGAGGGCAATGAACTTGGCTTGATCTTGAGAATTTTCTGTTGGAGGCTGAAGGTAAATGCACATGGCTGGAATGAAAAAGAGGCATACAACCATAAGGTGGGCTCCACATGTCCCAAATGCTTTCTGAAATCCTGTGTTAGTGTGCATCCTTAGGACAGCTTGAGCAATAGCGCCATAGGAAGTGAAAATGAGAATGAGTGGGATTAAAACAAAAATAGAGCTTGCAACCAGTAGAGTCATCTCATTAGCTCGAGTATCAACACAGGATAACTGAAGCAGTGCTGGGACTTCACAAAAGAAGTGATCTACTTGGTGATGTCCACACAAAGGTACCCAGAAAGTGAAGAGAGAATGAAGTGCTGAGTCCATAAAGCCACATACCCAGGAGGCTGCTGCTAGCATGTGACAGAAACGAGGATTCATGACAACAGAATAATGCAAGGGTTTGCACACAGCTGCATAGCGGTCATAGGACATCACCACCAAAAGAACACACTCTGTGGTGCCCAGAGCAAGGACAAAGTAGAGTTGGAGCATGCAACCAGCATAAGATATCGTCTTCTCTGGACCCCAGAGGTTGAATAGCAGTTGAGGGACAGAACTAGTGGTGTAGCAGATATCCAGAGCTGAGAGATTTGACAGAAAGAAGTACATGGGTGTGTGCAGGTGGGAGTCTAAGTGTGATAGGATGATAATGAAGAAGTTACCTGTCAGTGTTGCCAAGTAGAATATCAAGATCACCACAAAGAGTACTACCTCCAGGTGAGGCCATTTAGAAAAACCCAGAAGAATGAAGTACCCTTCAGAACTTGCATTGATTTTTTCCATACTAATTTACATCTTCTTTTATTTTATCTTCACTTATAAGAAAATTTGAGTGTTAAAGGGAATAATTACAGTTGTTGACTGAAGAATATAAAGCATCATCAAACTCATATGCTATGAAACAAACAAAAACAAAAAAATCAGTAAGTGAAGACAAAAGTGTCCCATTTGCTAGAAGCCTAACTTCAAAGTATAAAATGAATGACTGTTAGACGACCTGAATGGATACAAAAGCAGTTGATATTTTTGCTGAGAAATAGGTTATTTACATTTTCTAAACTATCCCTTTATAAACTACTTGTTAATCACAAAGTAAACTTTCTAGTACAGAAATCCTGTTGATGCCTCCATAATCACACCTGTCAGCTTACTAGTGATGACATGTACTAGTACTGAATGACTGCTGACACAACTGAATTCTTGTTATGAAGAAACATGGGAAAGAATCAAATGAACACAAAATTGTTTGCCTGTACTCTACAAAAATGTCAGTTATTATAGCAATTAAGATTGAGGAATTGGGTAAATAAATTTTAAAAGCTGATGTCTAGATGATCACACACTTGAAAAAATAGCACAAACTTCAGAGAATTGAAAAAAATTTGAATACTCACTGATAATTTTGCCCATTTTAAATTGGTTAACATTTGAACTGTACAGAGTTTACATAAATAACTATATTGTTCTTGGAAAGAACCATCAAGAAATCCAGTGGGAGGGAAATGCTTGCATGTCTAATCAATGGCCCAATGGTCCAGAAAAAGTATTGGATAATTTATATATAGATAGGTGTTATATAGATAGATGTTAGATATAGATAGATAGATAGATAGATAGATAGATAGATAGATAGATAGATAATAGATAGGTTGATAAATAGGTTGATAGATAGATGATAGATAAGTAGATGATAGATGGATAGATAGATAAAGAGAGATGATAGATCATAGATAGATAGATAGAGATAGATGATAGATGATAGATAGAGATAGATGATAGATAGATGGAAAAATAGATGATAGATAGAGAGATGATAGATAAATAGATATAGATAGATAAATGATAGGTGATAGATGATAGATAGATCAGAGAGGATAGATAGATAATAGATAGATATAGATAGATGATAGATATAGATAGATAAATGATAAATGGATGATAGAGAGAGAAAAAATAGATAATAATAAATAGATAGAAAAAATAGATAGAGAGAGATGATAGGTAGATAAATAGATAGATAGATGATAGATAAATAGAGACATAGATGATAGAGAAAAAAGATAGCTTTTGAGTTGATAGACAATAAATATATGAAATAACAAAACTTTCCCAGAAAAATGTACACTAAGGATCAGTTCATTTATGAGATAGTGTTATTTGTTCTTTTTATAGCTATTCTGTAAGTTTGAAAATTTCACAATAAAATGATACCAAAAGAAAATATGAAATAATTTTATATTTCATGTAGATGTTTGTATTTTTATAGAAAACAAATCAAGTTCTCGTTCATCCTAGGATAACAGATGACCAATTGCTAATTGAGTGAGGGAAAATGATTTCCATTCAACAAATGGTCTTTGATAACAAATAAATTATTTAATATTTGTTTTCAGTATTTTCTAATAGTTTCTGCTTATGTGATAATATAACCATCCAGGAGAAATGAAGATATTATAAAGACACACTAGTGTCTCTTACTCTGACTATCAGACTATTGAACAATGGACCCCAAGAAATGGGAATTTCCCTAGAAATGTCATGCTTTGAAAGGGAATAGTGCCAGCTGAGAGGCAACTTGTATTCCACATAGACATTTCACATAGTTCTAACAATTCATCAAACCAGCTTATAGGATGAGATTGAAGCCCATATACTGATGAATCAGTGGTGGGTAGACTACACCTTTACCTGGACTGCTAAAATGTGTATATCCTTGGCCCGCTATAAAAACTTTGGGTGTGAGTTGCGGGGAGCAGGAGGAGGGATGAGAGGGGGATCTATGGTTGGTATGTAAAATGAATTAAAAAATTTTAAAAAAAGGAAAATTATGATCTCACTTCAGAATTCTGAACACTGACTTGTGTGTGTTTCCTGGATCTCTTTTCCCCTTCCCGATATGACCACATTGAATAAATCTCTATTTATTGCTTTCCACTTTTAATTTGGCCTATTGAGAATAGATAGTGGGAATCTGACTTGCAGCACATTTTGTGATTCCCAAGTCTGATAACAGCAAGTAAATGATTTACATTTTGTTTTATTTGCAAAAAATTTCGACTTATGTGGTACTAGGAAGCACAATTGCAATTTTAATAATCTTACACATACATGAAAGAAGAGGAAGAAACATCAAATTCAGAAGTTATTAATAATACTTATGAATTGAGATATGTATTATACCTCAATTAAATGTGCCTACAAAAAGGAATAACTTTGTTTTCTAATATACTTACTTACTTGCCAGTTTTTTAAATGTTAGAAACATAATTTAAATAGAAAAATTTTTAAAAGCCATAGATTATGGACACATTAATATATATGTATTAATGAAATGATAAAGCTAATAAAACTGGGAGTCTGAATGAGAGAGTGCTCAAATGTATGCTAGAGACATATTTTACAAGAGAATAATATAGCTATAAGATGAGAGGAGAAAGACCACTTATCAAAGTCATCATCACAGCCAAGTTAATTAAAGCAACTAATTAATTAAAACAAGCTTTTTTATTCATGTACATGGGCTGCCTCCACCTAAGGTGAGGTTAAAGAGTTCGGCCTCGGATATGAGGAAGTTCAGGGATGGGGGTTTCCAAATTAGGGATTGGTTGGGCAAAACAAGCAGGATTACAAGAGCAAAACATTATAACAAAGCATTATAAAAAAATTATAACAAAACATTAAAACAAAGACATGATTGCAAGGTGGTCATTGATAGCAAACAGATAGTTATAACAAGGTAACCACAACAACCCTATTGAAATAAAGGTATGGTTACAAGATGGTTAAGTTTTTTAAACAAAAACATGATTCTTTTGTGCAGTACAAACCACTTGTAGCTAAGGTTGCAGGTAGGGCAAAGCCCCATCCTTGAGAAACAGAGGTTTGTTTAATCATAAGTAGAAAGGAACCTAGTTTGTCTTTATTATAAGATGTATTTTAAGCCTAAAATGGAGGCAGGCTGGTTCTTCATAAAGCAGAATCCAGTGAGTACATCCAGGAGCATGGAAGGGCTTGCAGGAAAGACAGGGGAAAGGACATAGTTGCACTGTGAGGTAGAGAATTATGTAGGCTACAGCCTGAGCCACTATCCCTACAAGTGGTCTCTTCTCTAGGAAAGTAAGTGTAAGCAAGGGTATAGTAAAGAAACCACTGAAATGTCTGCTCCATGACTAAGGGCAAGTTTTTTATTGTAGGTAAGGTAGAGAGAACAGCCAGAAGCATCTGGAAGAGTCCAGAACAGAGAGAAAAATAAGTGGACTGGCTATGGCTGGGGCTAGAGAAACTGGCATAGAAAAATCATGCTGAGGGAAGGGAAGCCTGTGAACTGGAACAGACTGGAAGTTTAGGACCAAGGAAGAAGGGGGAAAGGCTAGGATGCTAGCTTGGACTTTGAAATGCATAACTCATACAAAGGAGTCTGGAGGCTAGCATGGGCTTTGATATGTAAACATAGGTATATGCCAGGGGAACTGACTCTTTCTGGTAGGTAGAAACCTGTTTCACAGGTTCCTGAGGAATGTTGCATGTGAGTTTTTCTATCTCCACCAGAAGTCCTTCTATAGTCCAACTTGAGCTGAGTCAAGACTGTCATTTTGGGGTTCCCTTTGGACCTGACAATCAGTAATATGATATTTAAATTCTAGCATAGGTTTGAATCACTACACTTGTTTACTCTCCTTTAGAGAAACATGGCCTATATTTTACAAATCATTAAATGGCTTATTTTTCCAATTAATATATTATACTAATGAGTCTTACATTTGTTTATTTTTTAAAAAATAAACTATAATTCATCAATACCTATGACTCTTAGAAGGCCCTAATTGCAGATTTCCAATCTTTCTTTGGAAAAATTAAATCTTCCATTTGTTACATAGTTACTGAAGGACCTAGGATTTAAATTTCTTTTAACTGAATTCTTTGTCTTCTCCAACATTATCATCTTTGTTTTGTTTTCCACAGTCCCATGGCTAATGAGAGAGCCTTCCTAATAAGCTGTGGCAAAAGCTGAATAAAGTCCTCTGTAGTTTCAACATTTTGACTCTCAATAGCTCATGTTCTATAAGTGTAACTCTTGCAGAAAGGTATTGGGGTAGAAATAAGCTTCATCATGAAAATTCAGAGAAGTCGGCTTGTCTCCAGGGCTTCTCAGCTAATCCTAATCCTAATTTGTAGTATTGTAACAGTGTCAGTAAACTAAAGTAAACCATCCTGTTTTGCTGAGAGATAGGTCCAGGAAAACAAGTCCACACATTATTTAGAGAGAACTTCCTTAAAAACTATGGCTGGATTTAAAAAAAAAAATTATATAACAGTAAAATCTGTATTGAAAGTACAAATTTCTGGCTTAATTTCTTCATTCTGGAGGGGTAGGAAATGAAGTTCCTTTTTGTTCTGTGGGTAAGTTCTTCCTTCTAGGTTCAAAGTCTGTGTTGTGAGGAAAAAGTAGTGACTGTTCCCCGCCACCAGCACTGAATAGAATTTTCCTATTCTGAGCCTATTATTCTTATATAGAACATTATCTAGTGCTCAAATAATGCCTGAAGCCTATTTGTTCACATCTTGAGTCTGTTCACATGCCCATTGTTGCCTTACCTTTCAATCCTTCACCTGTGTTGCTGACCCTGACTGGTACTGGTGTCCTTGAGAGCTCTAACAGTGCCTATACCTGATTCTGCTACAGAGGAGAGAACCCCGAGGGCAGTAAATACTTGTTTGTAGCCAGAAGGTGAAAGTCTGATCTTTTAGTGTATCCAGGGAGAGGTCTTATCTGAAACCAAATGAAGATTATAGAAATAAAGAACTGATTTTCTTGACTGTAGCATCGGGAGTATAAATCCCAAAAGTTGATTAATGCCCTGCAGGGACTTGTGAGGTTACACTGTTTCCCTTGACACTTCACCACTGTTGAACCAAGGTGACAATGAAACTCTGGCCCAACCACCACTCTGAGTTGTGTTTACAGGAAAGAGGATGGGTTGTAATGGGATTGCTAAAATCCTTCTGAGTTCTCAAAACATTTAGAGCTAAATTTGATATAAATGACACAAATAACATAAAATTCAGATCCAAAAATAACTCAAAATATTTGACATTAAAATTGGATGTCCTAAAACTCAGACCCAAAACTTAAACCTCAAAATAAAATTCAGTGGTTTATTATAATAGTGGGTTTTATAATTATTTGTTGTTGAATTAAAATTCTGAGAATTCAAAATAATTATTAGTGAAAAATAAACAATCAAAAAAGAAGACAGCTGGACTTTTTTGGCTTTTCTTTGTGCATGATCTAATCTAAGTAAATAATTGTAAGAAAAAAGTTCCTATTATTCCAAACAAAACAAGGTAACACAAATTCACATGGAATTTGTGGTCTTCTCAATTATTAAGACCATGGAGTATTGATATTATTGACAAAAAACCACAGCTCTCACCTTAAAGGACATAAGAGACAGTTTAATCTGGAGCTATTTTAAGTTGCCATGGTCTGAGAATGCAGATATAGATTAGCCCAAATTCTGCATTCCAATATAGAAGCAGTTTCATGAAATTTTACGGTTTTGCAGAAAAAAGAAACCTTTTAAATCAAGGCAAAATGAAACCACAGTGATAGGTACATCAGAGATTCAGTTACAGTCAGATTGGGCAAGCTTTTCTACAGGTTCAAGATGCCCTTTGATGACATTCTCAGTTTTTGGATTAGTGGAAGCTAGCAGTCTGCTAAATTAATAGGTTCCAAAGGTTTTTATCTATTAGTCATAGGATGTCAGTTCTGTCAGT